TGACGGTAATATATATACCATAGAAGTTTGAGATAAAATGATTTTGTTAAATTCTTTGCATCGAGCAATAACATGATCATTTCATATAATTTCGATATGTTTGACAATGATAACATAATTCCCGTCAAACATCACATGAGCAGCTGACATTACAAACTATTTAACGCTCTCGTTTGACAACATCACTGTTGATTTGATAAGGCTTGTGTTTTTATGTCTGCCTGTAAAGGCAGTATTAACTGAGCCATAACTCCTCCTCGCACTCCCCAACGTTACTTGAACAACGGACACTAGAGAAAACGGAGAAAGATGAAGCCTTTTTCTTGCCAAAAATGAAAAAAAAGTAGACAAATATTGGCATCTAGGGATGAGACAAACCAAAGGACAGAGACAAAGTTTCCACAACTTGACCTTTGCAGTTTGCAGACTTTAAGAAAAGGAGTGCTACAGCAAGCTTTCTTTCTACAACGTCACTAGAGATCTTGACATTGCATGAAAGTAAGGGAATTGCGGGATCTGATTCTATCCTTCACGTTTATATGGTTGCGAACCCAAAAAACTACATAACTAGAGTTCTAATCTTATGGCCATTCTTTCTTTCTTTCTTTCTTTCTTTTCTTCTTTCTTTCTTTTTCGTCCTTTCAAGAGACAAAAGCATGTCCCTCTTTGGTGTGAAGGAACGTTCCCCCAGAGGCATGGCTTTTATAGGGACGGATCATTTGAGAGTGATGATTGAGGGATCCGAGGAGAGGAGAGAGTACGTCATGTGCTGCTGCTTGGCTCGTACATTGTGCATGGGAACGAGCGAAGGCATCTTAGAAAGAGCTGGTCAAAAAAGAACACACTCTCGCGATCGAGGATGAGCGGAGACAGTAAAAGCATGTGGGATAAGATCGTTGGAACTCGATGCTGCTTTTGATGAACGTTTGGTCGTTCTCCAAGATTGCTTTCGATTTCAATTTAAGAGAAGAACAACCGCCCTATGGTTGAAAGAGAGAGTGCGGTGGGAGAGCGAAGTAAAAGAGCTGCATAAATACTTTGAGGAGAGACATTTGAGCGTGAGAAAAGCAATTTGGAGTAACAAGAAAACAAACCAGTCTATTAACTGGATCCACCAATAGGTCGGTCGATCGGATACGTTGAGTCGAGTCAAGAAGGTTCGAGTTTGGGTTCAAATCGAATTGGTATGAACGAGATCGATCCTTTCTAGTTCTCACTTATTTTGCAAATTGGTTCTTCCTTTATGCAAAGATCTCTTGGGATGATTTGGAATAAAGTCAAATATGGAGAAAGTAAAAGTGATTCATTCCAGGCTGGATAGATTCCCCATCCAAATCTAGAACCTGAAACCTACCCTGTTAGGATTGGTTCCTAATTTTTGGAATCTAAAACTTACCCTATACATCCTCGAATCAAACCTGTCAATCCGGTTTCAAGGTCTACCCGTGAATCCGGTGATTCTTTTTTCTTTTTCTTTTTTTGTTTCATTATCTAATTCTTTGAAAAGACAAACTTTTCCTATTAGTTTATCAAACGGCGAGAAGTAAAATATTCCATTTTTACAACCAAGACAAATAACACTTACAACAAAAAAGTAGAGCTACATAATATCGAGAAGTAAGATATCGGTAAAAAAAAAATATAAAGCAATTGAAAAGTGTCCAACTTATCCCTTAGTCAAGCAAAATGAAAGTTAAAGCAACAACATAAATCCCCATCCGCCAAAAGTAACAACTCATAAAAAGATAAACCCGTATAATGAAATAAACGATAAAAAATTCAAGTTGTAAGAGTAAAAAGAAAGAACTAGGGTAATCTCGGTCCAGTTCTCCGGTTCAACACCCTGACCGAGAACTAGACCAATAATAGTCGGTTCCAAATTTTTTGGAACTGGGAACGGGTACACCCCCCTAGGAGAGAACTTTAAAAAACGGGCGCCACTCCGAGGGTTATTGGGTCAAGGTGATCAAGTTCACGGGGCAATTTGAAACAAAGTCAAGCTTACTAAGGGCCTGTTTGGTTCGGTTTTGGGGAAATGCATTTGGCAAAATGCAAATACCTTTGAGTTAAAGGGGTTTTTCGAAATGCAAGTAGTGTTTGGTAACGTGTCTTTTAAAATCACATTTGGAAACAACTTTGATCTAAATACCGTTTGGTAAAATCTTAATTTTGTAAAGGACTTTTGCTAATATTTTTTTAAAAAAAAATTTTGGCCTGAACCAGCCATCGCCGGCGACTGTCCGGCAGGCCAAAATGGCCGCCGGCCAGCCTCGCCTGAGGTTGGCCGACCTCCGGCGACCACCGCCTGGGGGTCGCCCGACCCCGGCGACCATCGCTGGGTCGCCCGACCTCGCGGCGCTCGGGTCGCGCGACCCGGATCCGGGTCGCGACCCGAGCGCCGCCGAGGCCGGCGACCCCAAGCGGTGGTCGCCGGGTCGGCGACTCGCGATCGCCACCCGGGGTCGGACGACCTCCGCGATCGCCGCCTCGGGGGTCGCCCGACCCCGGCGATCGGCCGCTGGGTCGGCCGACCTCGGGCCGTGCTCGGGTCGCGCGACCCGAGCACCGCTCGAGGCCGGGCGACGCCGCTGGGGGTCGGCCGACCTCCGCAACGCCGCCGAGTCGGCCGACCCCAGCGGCGGTCGCCGGTCGGCCGACCCTCAGGCGGCGGTCGTCGGACGTCGGCCGACCCTCAGGCGACGGTCGCCGGATGTCGGCCGACCCTCAGGCGGCGGTGGTCGGACCCCTCAGGCGGCGGTCGTCGGTCTCAGTCGAGAAGATGAACAGTGCACGTGAACAGTACACATTGCATTCCGAAAATGCAAGTCCCCAAAGCTCCACCATCCCTCCATTCAGCCAAAGTCCCTTAGGGAGCTTTGGAGATGCAATTGCATCTCCTCAAAGCTTGCAAAAAAAATTGCCAAACAAGTTTGCATTTGCCTGAGGGCCTTTAGACCCCCAAAGCAGCATTCAAATGCTAAACCAAACAGGCCCTAAATAAACAATATTCTATATTCAATTTAGGTTTTTAAAAAATGTATTGGGTTCATGAAAATAGAAATTTCAATATGAGCACAAAATTTTGTAAGACTATCTTTGGTCGGATGTTTTCAAAGAATACTGGCCTACCTCATCATGTGGTATAGAAATTCTGAAAAGAAAAATTGCTTTCGGTCTGTAGTCAAATAAAAGTCAAACTGGTTCTCCTATTTCCAGTTGAAAATAATTTCCAATATGCGAGCAAACACTTTTCCAATTGACGTTTAATCCATCTATCTTCTTCTTTTGTACTCAATGGTTTCGACACCATGTACGTTTATGCCCTTAAACATTCTTGTGATACGTACATACACATGTGAAGGGGATTGCCTTAACGAACAGCGGGTTATGGTCGGTTGCCAAGCAAAGAAATGTCACGGACTATAACCATCTTATCGTTTTCGCTTTACCAACCAAAGAAAGAGAAGGAACATTCGTGAGACGTTTTGAGACCTGCATGTATCTGTTTCATTCATTATTTCTTCTTCTTCTTCTTCTTCTTCCTCTTTCTTCCTTGGCTGAATTGTACAGGCAAAAAATTCAATTTCTATTGTCAGAACAAGAGAGAAGTGGGGAAAGCAGAAAATTCACCCAATCATTCCGGGCGTGGGGTTGGTTCTAGTTGATTTGGCCCACCGTCCCAACAACCGCAGGCCCATCCAAAGGCTTCCACAATCCAAGCTCCGATCACAATCCGTCGCGAGAGCCACGAGAGATTGTGCAAGCATCGCGATTCGAATTCAGGGTCCGGGCCGGAAGGGCCGACATGCCTAAGATCGAATGAACCCTCGGGACGATTAGATGCGAGGCTTAATTACATTCACGAGTAAGAGTGAACTCTAATTTTATACGGTTGGAAAGTATATGGACCCGTCCCGGGAGTGCACGGGCAAGAGGCCGGTTCGGGTCACGTGCGAATATGGACGGCCCACCTAAAACGATTAGGACAGTTTACTTTCCCCGGGGGGCCCACAACATGAGCTAATGTCTGTCGCGATTAGCTTAATCTCCATGTTTTACGATGTCATCATTAGCTTTTAATATGGACCTCTGCTTACGAATAAAAACCTAGGATTTCAACCGCCTGTTTCTCGCCTAATGTTTGCTTATTCAAGTGGTAATGATGATTGGCTACATCATAGGAGCTAGCTTCCAGGGCAATTTTGCTCCCCACTTCCTTATATGGGTCTACATGCGTAGTACATGTTAAACCTGCTATAAGAAACATCCGCATAGGTGTCGGAAGAAAATGCTGAGTAAAGTTTGCAATGCCTTTGACCTCAGGAGTGATTGTCATATCCAGTGCGGCTAAAGAACGTACTCGTGTGCGCATGAATTTGATACACGACATGAGTTCGATTCTCCATATCATCAAGCACAAAACAATCTCGCGTTTAGATTGCATATTCAAAATTTGGCTCTCATCTTGATTAATTCACGAAATTTGTGAGAGTATTGAGATTCATCTATTACTTAAGGTGGGCTTCCTCGTCCGTACGAAAAATTTACCCCATATATCATGGGGGATTGTGTTGCAAAAATTATGATCTTGATTTGCGCCTAACGAAACAAGAGGAGGAGGTGGTATTGCTCGCTTGTCCACACAAACTTGTACAAAGTCGCTCCGGACGTACAATACGATGACCCACTATGTAGTTTCCGACGACCTCAGTTCAAATCCGCCAATCAGATTAAAAAATTCAAACAAAAGCTAGTCCACGTCAGCGCGCCCGTCGTCGTCCACGTCACAGTCAGCACCGTCGCCCTCCACCAACTATCTCCTTTCCTCTTTTTCCTTCTTGCCCCCCGCCCCCACCATAATTTCCAAGAAACCAACATCTGTACTTCTTCAATCCCGTCTCTTATCCCGTTTTCCGCCACCGGCAACCTGCTGCACCCCGCGATACCCCTCGCTGTCCCACCTCCCATCGCCCCCACTCGGCTCCCCCGGTAACCCACCGGTTGCCCGCCACGTCCCCACAAAAACACCCGAACAAGAACAACCTTAGGGTCCACAATAATCTCCCCAATCTCTCTCTCTCTCTCTCTTTCTGTCTGTCTGAAAGTTCCATGAAGCATCGCGAGCCATGAGCGCTCTCACCAAGCTGGGCACCGCCCTCACGGTGGTCTTCGTCGTCTCCGTCGTGGCCCTGGCCGCTCAGGTCCTCTGGGTCCTGTTGCGCAGCCGAAAGTTCCGGCAGCGGAGCCTCGCGGGCAGCTGCGGCGGCGGCGGGGGCGGGAGAGTGGACCACGAATCCGCCGGCGGGGGGGCCGTCCCCGCGCCGCCGTCGAAGGAGCTGCTCTACTTCTTCTGCTGGAAGAACCAGTCGAGGGTCGAGCCCGCTGGGGCTCCTGGAACACGGACGGAGATCCGCGACCCGGACGATGACGACGTCGACGAGCTAATCAAGTGGCAGGGGCTGTACGGACCTCCCAGGCTGCTGTTCACCATCAAGGAAGAAGAGAGAGAGGACGCCTTGGATTCCGATTGCGGTAGCAACGTCAAGAGCAAGATCGGCTCGTCCTCTTGGGAGAAGAGCGATGACAAGAAGAGGGTGTGCCTGAGGGAGTGCCTCGGGGAGGCCGACGACGAGGCTCCGCCGGAGGAAGAAGCAGCGGCGGCGGCGACGGTCGTCCTGGAGGTGGAGGAGGAGGTGACGCCGTTCTCGACGCCGTGCGCGTCGCCGCCGTACTTCACTCCTTCGCCCTCGCCTGCTCGGGCTGGTGGTCAGGCAGAGGCGCCGACGACAGTTGTGATCGTTATGGATGGTGAAAGCTAGCACCGGGCGTTTGGTCATGCAAAAACGGCCGGTTCCGTTTGTTTTAGGTGAGAAGGCGCCCGGCGGGTGAGCGTCGACACTGGTCGCCGGAGGGAAGATGAGGTCATCGCCGTTCGAAGTGTGTTGTACAATTCGCAATGTATGGATGGATGGTAGTGTAGAATAAAATACGAGTTTGTGGTGATCGCTCATTTGACTTATGTTGACCAACAAGTCTTCTTGACTATGGCCGAGTCGATCGAACAATTAATTGCACGGTCCCATTTGATCACTCTGCACGACATCAGTATTCAGTCGTATTATTTTAGATAATCTGACGTGGCTAGATTGGCGTGCGGGGGAGCTTAGAGAAAAAAACATCATACAAAATATCGGCGATTTGACAAACAGATTCAACCACCACGATATAAGAACGGGGGACATTCTATTTCATATGGTGCTCCTTTGAATGTCTCGGTAAATCTCAACCGCCGAATACGAAAGGCACGCTTGGGCTTTCTTTTCTCCTAAGTGGAGTCGAGATGCGTAGGCAAAACGGGTCGAAAAGTTTGCTGCCTCCATTAGTCTAAAAGCTCAACATGCTTCAACTTAAAAAACGACCGAGGTGTTTACTTTTTATTTGTTTAAACTCGACCTTAGTTAGGTAAAAACTGTGAAATGATTGATAAAAACGACCCGCCTGACTTAATATCTTGAGACTCGGTTATAAAATACAGGTGGTAGTTTTCTCAAGTTTTTTGCTTTTAGATATCATCAGAAAGTAGATGGTCAAATATATTGACTGAAGTTCAAAATTCAAAGACATCGCAGAGCATCGAAGTCTCTAATCTATATCTTATGAAGGCTAATTCAAGCTAAGCCGAAATCTCGAGCTTTAAGTTTCAACTTGAACTTTGAAGTATAATACCGTAAATTCGATCATATTCAGTATACAACAAAATTCAAAAACTAGATCTATGTTCGCAAGCTGCTCGAGTTTGACTAAATGATATACTTGTGCTATTGTAACTACGGACCAGCAAATTGGGTTCAAGTAATTCTAGTAAGCAGGTCACAAGTTACATTATTACTTGATTTGCAATTTGCACCCTGATCAAGTATATTTCTAGTAATCAGCCCTTGAAATTAAATAGCATAGTCTATCAGAACGCACACTAATTATGTCTTTTTGGTGGCTGATCCCAACATATACGTAGAGAACTCTTATTATGGGATTTGAGTGTCCGACAAATGTCAAGTTTGTACCAATACTGTACAAATACAAGTAGTTACTTCACACTTTACAATTTGGGAAAATTCCATACAAGGGCCTGAAGTTTCCTCATTTGAAACTGTCATGGCCACTTGAGGTCATTATTTGGAATTTTCCCTTATAATTTTAAAGGAAGAAAGGTAAGTACGCGGAATAATTGGGACTTATGTTTTTCTTAAGGATTTGTTAAAAGAGTGCCTCTAGGACACTAGTTAAGTAATCAGTCAAGGATATTTTCTCAATGCACTATTTTTCATGGGAAAAATTGTCCAAATAATCCTAAACATATTGTATGGCAACTAATTTAATCATAATTTTTTTAATTTCGCTAATTTAGTCATAGACCTCTTGACAATTTTCCAAACTAGTCTATCTGGCCAATTATGATCAGAAATCGCTGACTTGAATGCCGACCATCCTGCGTGATACAGCTGGCGCTAACATGAACAATTTTTTCAATTTTTTTTTGAAAAGTTCTTTTTTTCATTTCTTTTCTTTCCTTTTTTATTTTTTCTTTTTTTTTCTATCTCCCTCTACCGATTACCGAGCCTTAGCAATGGCTGGCAAAGGTCAGCGCCCACAGGTGGGGGCCGGCGAGGGCGTTGCAGTCCTCGGCGGAGGGAAATAGGGAAAAAAAAAGAAAAGATTCATAAAATTTGCGAAAATTTTCCACGTCACTGCCAACCACCATGCCACATAGAACAATCTGCATCCACAACAGCGATTTTCCAACTAAAATTAACTGAAATGACTACTTTGACAAATTGTCAAAAAGTTTAGAACTAAATTGTTCAAATAAAAAAGTATATGACTAAATTGGCCGTCGTACAATAGATTTCATAATTTTTAAACAATTATCCCGTTGTTCACGTATTATGTACAGTAAGTTCATTGAAAATCGAAATATTTTTTTTATTAAAAATAGTTTACCAATGTCTCGATAGTACTCGTTGATAAGACCATTTTCTCTGTGGATTTTGAAAAACTGCTGCGAATGTACCTTCTTCTTTTTTTGGGTCGAATGTTGCGAATGTACTTAGACTAACAAATTGACTGCACTCTGAAGTACTTGGTCCAAGTATCCGATGGCATGGGTGGGTCAATCTTGACGTTTAGCATCTACTCTTCTTTGCTAGTGTACTGCACAGCAGCTGTATACGACAAAAGGGAAAACTAAGATACTAGAAATAAGAGAAGTTGAAAGCCTAGCGTCGAAGAAGACGTAGAAAGAAAATAAATTCAGATATGAGAAATGGTGACAATGAGAAAAGAGATTATTGCAAATTTGCAATAAGAAGGTTGCTATAAAATTATAATACGATATTAGTATATGATAGGCGGCCGTTAATGCGGTAATAAATTAATGAATTAAATTAGCACCTATAAGGAGTCAATTAATTAGGAACAAACGTAGCGGTCAATATTGTAATTTGAAATAGCAACAAATGTGAGGTTTAAGAAACCCATATTTCATGCTCAGGAAAGTATCGGGTGAAAATGTGCAGAAGAAACGATAATCTCGTTTTTATTTGAGTCAATAATGGGGTCAAACAAAATAGAACAGTAATTGTTTACTGAGGTGGATGACTTTGGCTTAGGTGGTTGCTTAGGTGTATAATTTTGGCTGCGTTGATGGCTGCCTTTGTGGAGAAAGCAAGGAAAACCTTTCTTGCAACTAGGAGAGGTTAATTCTTGCAATTTAGAAATTTAGAAAAAATTATTTAAAAAGTTCTAAAAGTAATATACGGCGCTCAATTTTGTCCTAAAATTTTTAATTGAACTCATTTAGTCTTAAATTTTGACAATTTTTCAATGGAGTTATTCTGGTCGAAAATTGATAACGTGGTGGTTTAGTCAGTACCAGCCGTCCTACATGACACGGTCAGTATTAATGTGAATGATTTTTGCAAATTTTTTAAATTTTCTGAAATTTTCCTTTTTCTGATTTTTTTCCTATTTCCCTCTGCTGGTCACTGAGGCCTTGGCGATGACCAGCAGAGGTTGCTGGCCAAAGGCAAGGGCCACGACGCTCTCACCGGCCCTCACCCAGTGGCCGACAAGGGCGTTCGAGCCCTTGCTAGTGGCTGGCAGGGAGAAATAGGAAAAAAAGAAGAAGGAAAAAAATTCATAATATTTTTTAAAATTTTGCAAAAATCATTCACGTAATTCCGGTCAAAATTGGCCAGAATGGCTACATTAAAAAATCGTTAAAAGATTTATGATTAAATTGGTCAAGTTAAAAAGTTTAGAATTGAATTGACCGCTGTACTATAGGTATTAGACTTTTTGGACAAATCATAACTAAAAATTTAGGTGGCAAATTAAGATCCAGCTCATAAATTCATCCACGGTCCCTATCGTAAGCCAAGGAAAAATAATAGAATCAATGCAATTCTACTATTTCAATATAAACATATTATAACTTTGAAATCCAATCTATCTCAATTTTTCTATGCGACTTTTCTTGGAAATATAGTTTTAGGACTGAAATGATCGTTAAAGTCGCGCTTTCATGGAGCTTTAATACCACACGAGGTTTATAATTAGTGAATTTCATATGGCTACTCATTATTTTTAAAATGGTATTGCGTTGACACCAGTAGGATTTTTTACGATTCCTCAAATCTATTCCTTCACACACCTCTGTCGAACCAAACTAGGATCCCTGGTCCTAACAATCACACTGCCCATATAAAATTCAACAAAAGCTACACTTTCTTTCCTTAATCGAGTACTTTAATTGAAAAAAAAAAACCGCTCTTTCATCTTTTCCAATCCACTATTTCTTGTCCTACACCGGAGTTTCCCCTCCCCTTAATGTCACTTATAACGCAAAGAAGTCATCAGATTGATCATCATTCGTGTTAGGTGTTCTGACCCCTAATGTCTGTTAGTAGATTATTTGGTGAAAAGAAAACAAATCATGTGGCCGGAAAATGGAAAAACCCGTCCCCTCGGCCATGGCCGGCGCTACCGGGATAAAGCTTGCTTTGCTTCTAAATGGAATTTTGTTTCACTATGAACCCATACAAAACCTATGGACACTGCGGATACGGAAGATATTTCTAAAGAGAGGGTTGGTGAAAAATGTGAATACGTATTCACTAAACCTTGCATCACCTATAAAGTAAGACTTGACCAAGACAATGGATTCGACCATTTGCTAGACGAAAGAGACATGGGTCGAGCAATGAGCTTGGTCTACCGCCTCTACTCTAGTTTATTGAACTGGTCTACCAATTCAATTAAGCTCATTTCAGCTAATGAAACTTTCGATATTCTTCGTTGCTAGCTGGGCCAAAAAATTAATCAGACGAATCCCAACGCGCAAAGTCAACTCTCTAACATGCCATTTTCTTTATAAAGATAGTTAAAACGATTCTTACGTTTCAAGTTTCGATCATTATTGCACATCTAAATTATTTAAGACGTGAACATTTCAAGGATAACTTTTTTTAAAGGGTTAATACCACGAAAAATTCCAAGTTGGTACACCTATAACAAATTTGCTCTTAGTTAATTTCCGTTAAATTTTACCGTCAAATTATTAAGTTGGATAATACGTGGTAGTTGACGGGTGCACTTTTTACCCTCTGTTTATCACAGGTGTACCGGTTTGTGATTTTTCGTGATATTAATCTAATTAAAGGTAAATTAATAGAGGGTAAATTTATTATAAATTTACCAGTTTGGGGTTTTTTGTAATCAAAAAATTAGTTTGAGGTAAATTTATCACAGGTGTACCAGTTTGAAATTTTTAGTGGTCAAAAAATTAGTTTTTGGTAAATTTGTCACGAGTGCACCAGTTTGGAGTTTTTCGTGGTATTAACCTTTTTTTAAATAAAAAATTACGGGAACTTTTAAAAAATAAAATAATTTTAAAGATACTCGTGGTATGTGAAAGAAGAGGCAATATTGCGAATCTCTTACATCATGCTATAGACAAGAAAAAAAGCCAAATAAGAAGCACCACAAAGTGTCAATATGCATATACGCAAAAGCAAGATCCACAGGCCGGGCACGTCGTGTCAAGTATACATGATCTCCAAAAATAATAAAGTATATGCTGAATTAAAAGACAAAAAGGAAACATAATCGTGAACCTCAAAATCATATATATCCGACATATAACTTAGAAAATATTCCAATCGATATCGCACTTGGTAGTCTGAAACTTAACAGTCGATCCGCCATTGTTGGAGCTCAAAGGAACCATCAAGCTACACTTGACCTTGGGCTTGAACCTGAAAGTCTTCCATGAACCCAGTTTGAACCTCAATCTCAAATACAACTTCACCTTGATGTTGAAGACACCCGCCGTCTTATCTGCGTTAAAACCGGAGAGATCCGTCGCCCCGAGCACCACCACTTGCTGGCCCGCGAACACCGGGCTAACCACGCTCGTAGTCTTGTGGCCCTGATAGAAAGGAGCCACGTCGGCGACGCTGAACCTCTGGTCCTCGTAGAAGGCCCTCGCCTCGAGGCGGTCGTAGTACACGCCGATTTTCTTGTTAGGGTTCCGGATGGTGAGGTTGAGCTGGAGGTCGTAGTTGAGGACGGAGTTGCCGGCAGTGAGGTTGAACTGGGTCAGCTCAGCCTCGGTGACGTGGAACTTGACCAGGTTGACGGGGCGGAAGATGAGCCAGAAGACGAGGGCGGCGATGCCCACGATGATGAGGACCGCGGCGATGATTTCGAAGAGGAGTTTGAGGAGGCAGCAGCAGCAGCCGTCGCCGCAGTCGCGGCCATATTTCCCTGCCATGGCTGGCTTCTTGATGATGAACAGATCAGCGAGTTTTGAGAATGAAGTGGGTGGATGAGGAAGATGATATTGTAAGGTGAGGTTTTTATTGGAGGAATTGGTAGGAAACGGACAGGAGAACGGCAAAGCGTTGACCTTTGACGCGGTTGCTTATGCTCAATTAGAAACCAGACATAAAATCCGCACCTTCCCGGGTAGAACAAATCATGCGCACATAGTTCCATTGTGATTAGATATCATTTCGATGCTTATGTACCAAGCAATCTACCAACTAAAACCATGTGAACTTTAAATTGACTTTTTCTAAACAAAAAAAGGAGATTTATCTTAGTACTTTGTCCTGATAATCCCTTTTATGTAAGGATAATTAGTATGATCTATAGCGATCTAAATTGATAAATCTAATTGAATAAGTACCGATGGATACAGGCCAATTAAACAAAAACTACAAAAAGAACCCGTCATTATGACTAATCTCTTATCGCTTTGCCAAGTAAAATTTCTCATGAGAAGGGGAAAGAGATTCAGAATCTACCAACTCAGCAATATAGAGTTTTCAGAATCCCTTTTGGCTATCGACTAGGCTAGTGAACATGTTGTTAAAAAACCGTGCATTTTAATTGCAGATGATAAAGGGGGAGGGTGTTCCTGATTCCTCTATGCTGTCATAGCTCATGTCTTCCATTTTTATTTTCGTTTTTTTGGCTAAGCAAAGTAAGATTAGATCCCACGTTGTCATGGGTCAACTCGCAATCGAAAATGAGGTGACCTGTCAATTTTTCCGCATCGATAATTATAGGGTAAGATTAAAAATGAACAATTTCCTAAGTTTGTATGTTCTGTCCTGTTTCACAAAGTCCTAGATGAGCATTATCGGGCGAGGGTCTTCTCCATTTAGTAATGTACCGCTAGTAATCAGCTGGGTCCGAAGCTTCGACCCCAAATTTAGCTCAACTTCAACATTTCGGGCTACACTCATTGCTTCGCCGAAATTTCTCCCTTGACGAAATATTTTTCACCAAAAATTATTTTTCGTTTTTTTATTAGAAGAGATAGGTTCTACACCAACTTCGGATAGGAAATAGGCAAATGAGGAAACCAACAGCCTTACTTTCGAACCAAATTATACAAATGCAAACTGTGCCGGAATTTAATCGACGACGAGACTTAAGAAGTACAGCTATTACAAATGAACCAAACGTAAACAAACCTTGCCAGAATTTAATCGATAACAAAGCCTGAAAAAGCCGTGATAAAAATACACGCCGAAATTTAATCGACGACGTGGATTGGAAATTACAGCTAAGAAACATCCTGAAATTTAATCGATGGCACGAATCTGGAAAATAAAAATACAGTGCAAGAAAGTAAACATACTGAAAGATAGTAAATTCGTTTTACTTGTGCGGGAATCCTTTGAAGAGTACGATGTAGCTATTTAAAGCCTACAATCGACGGTTATCAACGGAGGTTACAAAGGGAGGTTACAAATAAATGTTGCAAACAACGGTTACCGATCGATTACATTGACTCCACTCCCTTGACGGTTTCTTTGACTCCACTATGTCGACGGTTGTTTTATTCCACTACGTTCATAGTTACTTCTTTCATGGTTGCATCCAAGATTGTCGACTTCACTTTTTGTTGATTCCTTCTAGCTGTCGATTCTTCAAATTATCAATGATTCTATTCATAAATAACCAAACTCTACTCTCATCGACTAAGTCTATCATATGTCCATAATAACCAAAAGTTGGTCATTTTTTGGTATAAACACTTACATATCCAAATGTCGGCCTAGCCTAAGTCAACAACCATAAGAACCCAAAAAGAACAAAATTCGGGTTCGATTCGGGCTGCATTACTCATTGAGGCCTAACCCAGTTTTCATTTTCTTTTATTATTTCCAAAAAAATCACTTACGTGCTTCTTTAGCCACTAAAACACACTAGCCCGAAAATTGCCGGGGACATTTGGATATGAGCCAATCGAAATAATTTTTTTTTTGGTCAAACCGAAGGAATTGGGAAAAAAAACGAAATAGGTGTAGGAACTAAAGACATGTAGGTAATTTTCATAAACAAAGTAAAAGGATCTATATAAAGTTGGAGAAGTCAAGGCTACCCAAGGTTTTTTTTTTTCATGATGTGTACCAATCATGATCTTTTGTTGAGCACATTGATCTATAGTGTGCCATGAACTAACCTAAGATCGAAGACTTTTTCTCAGATTGTAAGCCAGAAATACGTGATGGAAACAGAGCTGAGACAATGATGCATTACTTGGTCAAGTTATATGCTGTCTAGCTAGCCCATCTCTCCCATCAGGTAGGTCATACTCTGCCCGTCTTCCAAGACGCATATTGAACGGATCGGAGCCATTAGTTCCTGCGGATCCATGAGTAACAAGTTCGAATCGCTTTTGGACTTAGTCTAGGAAGTTTTTCGCGTCAAAGAGAGTTGTTTAGATAGAGTATATTTGATTGTGGGCGGAGTATAGAAACTGGCATTGGCTTATGGGCCTGAAGAACAGATTCGAAGAAGCATATATAAAGCCCAACCTGAATGGCATTGGAAGTTCCGGGTGTTCTTCATTCTTCCCATTCGCAATTTCACGACATCTTCTTTCTTTGAATGGCGATGTGGCGGCCAGCTCATGTGCCCATTTCAACCTCAGGAATGCTCCTGAGGCTGTCTGATAACCTTGGCCTTCATTTGTCTGTGTTAATCGATATGATTCTGTATTTTGAAACGCACGCATGTCGATTTTGGAAGCAAACGCGAAGCTTGGGATTCGAACTCAGAACCTCTTATACATGAACACGACATCATTGAGAGTATATACTCCAATCCCCGCCGGTGAAAAAAACAGTTTTAAAGCACCGGTCGGCCTTGGACGTGATGAATTCAGCCTTTGGACATCGCCCACGATCTCTACTGTTGCAGTGTGAAACTAAGCGTACCATGTCAAGCAGGTCAAAGGAAACCTTAAACCATCGAAATCAGGTCTGATGATGCTGAACTAAAGCATCTTTCACTTCCTACTGTTTCTTCGCTTTCTGGCTTTTTGGGCAGTTCAGTTTTCGCAATAGTGGCTTGGACAAATGACTGTCCTAAAAAGCGGACCTGCCACGACCGTTCACTTTAGTTTAATGGAAAATTCCAACCTAGTCGAAACTATATAACATGAATTGACCGAACACACACTCCATATGTGGCCAACATGTGTTGTGGGGGGGTGAAAGTTTTGAGAAAGATGTGAGGGACCATTTCAGCATGTTCAAAAAGATTTGGCCAAAACCCTCTCCATCACGCCATTATTAGTAGGTTGTGTCGATGGGTGGTGAGGGCGAGGGACTTTGAAAATGACCACCCCCACCAGACAGAAATCATTGCCCGCACCGCATTTCGAAACACGGGGAATCTAGTTCGCACGAACCGTAAGATCACGTGAGTTTCACATAAACCCACCTCATCTTTTCTATTTTTTTCTTTTAAAAGAAGCCCATCTTGCCCTACTGTAGACGCGAATTGAGCTCGCGCAATTCGGTTTCGGGTAATGAATTTACCCCCACCGCAAGTCATCCCCAATCAACCACACGGATGACTCACCCACCTCTCTCAATAATTCAACACTATCACCCAACCATCCCACTAGCTAGCCACTCCTTCCATATCCTCTCAATTTAATCCTTTGTAGGAAGACTTTAGGTCTAGGCGTTTATGCTCATCCTCCAATTGTGGGTTATCCCTACTCTACTTCATTCATGTAGAAAAGCACCCAAACAGAAGAAATCGTATGCACGCATGGGTAGTTTCCATATAGAGATTAGAGTGTAATATAAGCAAGAATGGTTAAATGGACCGACCCTTTGAAAAAACTACCCAATTATCCTCCCTTTTCTCATCATTTGTGTCAAAATTCAAAGATTTTCCAACCAAAAAGAAAACGAAAAAATACATGATCAATCGGAAAATAAGAGATGGATCTATTTTGATATTGAGGATACATATGGACGTGTAATGAAAAAGCGACAGCTATGAAGTCACGCACACACAACCTTGACGCTGACCATAAGGCCATTTTTCTATTCGCACCTTTTGAAAATCGCCCATCCCGAGAGACGAAGAGAGATCCAATGAAGGAATTCGAGAGGAGCGAGAGATGAATTTTCAATAAAGCGATAAGCAAAGAGTAGGCACGAAGCGAGCGTCATCATCGTCATCATAAAATGTCGTTTTCCAGATGCAGAAAACCATAGAAAATGACACCGCAACCTCCGCTTGACGATCGAATTGGCACCAATTATTGCCCGATTTCTTTTTATTAATTCGCAACCTCATCGATCGATAAATGACAAATTACACAACTTGCCACCCAGTTTCAGATTCTCCTAACTTTGTCCTCTTTAATTTTCCTCCATTTTTATTATGATTTCCTGGTAAAACATCAAAGTATACACAGTTCAAGGACGTAATTCCACATATACCTAGGAACCCAACATATATCACGAACCAAGTGAACTGAAATTGCAAAAAAAAAAAAAAAGAAGAAAGAAAAACATTAAAGCGAAAGAGAGAGAGAAAACCATAATTGTTGATGGAAAACAACAAGGCATGTGCATGTGCTCGTGCATGTGCATCTGCTTAGTGGTGGCTTAATGTGGGTGGTCGCCGCCGCTCACACGGTGACGTCACACTTCTGGATCAGCTGGTACTTGATGGCGTTCTCGCCGACGGTGATCCCCGTCGTCCTCGGCCCGAACGTGATGAACGCCGGGCACTTGACGTAGAGGTGGTACCGCCCGGTGATGTACGTGCTGAGCTTCCACCGCACCCGCCCGTCCAGCTTGATCATGAGGCTCACGGCGCCGGAGGCCTGGTCCTGATTCAGCGCGAGCGAGTTGTACGGGGCGACGGGGACTTCCGTGCCCAAGATGAAGGGCGACCACACGTCGACCTCCTTGTGGCCCTGGTAGGACGGGGGGATGCTGGTGCGGAGGGTGATCTGCTGGTTGCGGTAGGTGGCGTAGGTGTCGAGGCGGTCGTAGTAGATGCCGAGCTTGTCGTTGCGGTTGCGGGAGTAGATGGTGACCTGCAAGTTGGAGGTGAGGAGGTTGGGGACCGAGGCGTTGAAGGCGTAGACGGTGACGTCCTGGAGGACGAAGCGCGGCTTGTGGGGCTGGATGATGGCCCAGGCGAGGAGGATGGTGATGAGGAGGAAGAAGTTGAAGATGAGGAGGCCGATGCAGCCGCGCTTGATGCGCCGCCGCCACTTGCCGTGGTGCTTGTCGCAGTAGTCGGATTCCTTGAGCGACATGGCGGTTGGGGGAGGAGGGGGAGGAGGACGAGGCGGAGGAGGAGGAGGGAGGTTTGAGGAGAAGGGGGATTGGAGTGAGAGGGAGTGAAAGGGTTTTCGTTTGGTTGGTGTGTATAGAAGTGGTGGGAATAGAGATAGGGTGAGGGGGTGAGGGAGGGCCTTATGTGCTTTTCGGGCGAAGTAGTAAGGCGACGTGTGATGGACGCATTTGTGAATGATTAACTTTTTATTATAATACCCTTTTATATTTTGGATGGAAGTGAAGTGAATCAAATGATGATATTGGTGTTTGGTGGAAGAAGAAAGAGATGTGATTGAGGGGAAATTGGCATCTTTGTTGACAGTTTTTTCTATACAATGTAATTAGGGTTTCATAAATCTCTAAATAGTTAGATGTCTACGCTCGTGCATTTTGGATTATAGAAACAAAAGGAACAATCAGTAAGCCTATAAATTAAAATAAACTTCGCCGAGAAGTCAGAATCCAATCACGCCCTCACTTATGTCGTCAATCATCGCGCTCCGCTCCTTGCATTTTATCCCGCCCGCCCCCCCCGGCATCTCCTCCTCCGCCCGTCCGCTAGGGTCCTTTACACCCTCTAGCGTTACCCTTAACACCATTTTGATGAACCAAATTCTAAAATCTCATATTAAAATTCCGGTTGAGGAATTGAGTGCATCATGCGCTTTGCGAACTTCAACGAGTCACGAAATCGTGCAAAGAAAACCAGATCCGCCTACCTCGCTAGCACGGTCAAATTTTCTTCTCCTTTTCATCTTAAATTACTCCATGGAAACACACGGTACCTTCGAGATCAAATCAAAGCAAAAATTTATATATCAAAAATTAATTTTTGGTGGTGGTGGCGGTAAGCATCAATAAGTGAAGGGGGGGGGGGGGGGCCACGTGACTTGATATTTTTGTCCTTAGGGGAAACGAGGAATTATCGACGGCACTAACTTTAAAACGACAAAAAAAGGGCACAAAAAGAAAGAAAGAAAGAAGAAAAGTTGCATAATAAAATAGCCGGACCAAAAGATTAATCGCTTTATCTAATGTTTGGACTAAGGTTGCCGAGGTGCATATCGGAAAATAATTGAAGCGATCTCGGCCGTCGGATGGAGATTGGATCGGACTGGAGGAGGAGAGTTGCAGTTGGGGCCCACCCCATCGGGAAAGGGCAGGCTCTCCCAGCTCATCAGCCTCGGCCCACCGATTTTTCAAAAGGAAAACACCACCAAAAACCTCAAACTTTGCCATCTGTGACACATTTACCCCGAATTTTTTTTTGTGACACCAAAAACCCCAAACTTTGCTATTTGTGACACATTTACCCCAATGCATTTAGTCCATAGGCATTTTCGTCTTTTTTGCTTTTTCTTTTTTTTTTCTTTTTTTTTTCCTTTCCGGCGAGGGGAGCCCTCGCCGGCGTCGAGCGAGGGCCCCCTCGCCGGATCGGGCGAGGGCCGCCCTCGCTCGGCCGGCGAGGGCCCCCTCGCCCGATCCGCCCTCGCCGGCGGGCGAGGGCCGCCCTCGCTCGCCCGGGCGGGCGACCCTCGCCCGACGCCGGCGAGGGTCGCCCTCGCTCGCCCTCGCCGGATCGGGCGAGGGCCGCCCTCGCTCGACGTCAGCGAGGGCCCCCCTCGCCAAATCCGGCGAGGGGGGCCCTCGCTCGACGCCGGCGAGGGCCCCCCTCGCCAGGAGCCCTCGCTAGAAAGGAAAAAAAAAAGAAAAAGTAAAAAAGACGAAAATGCCCATGGACTAAATGCATTGGGGTAAATGTGTCACAAATAACAAAGTTTGGGGTTTTTGGTGTCACAAAAAAAAGTTCGGAGTAAATGTGTCACATATGGCAAAGTTTGGGGTTTTTGGTGATTTTTTCCCTTTTTCAAATCAACTATGTTTAGCCAATACTATATTCATGGTACATTGGATTTACAAAAATAATATATTAGGTGATGCGAGAGAACTCGATTAGAAATTTAAGTAAGTAGGTCGCATTCAATACTCGGTAATAATAATATGCCACATCGTCTAGTAAACTAACTTTATAACTTGATTTTGATCTGCAAGCGGAATTAAAAATTTTCTTTTTAGGGTTAATTCCACGAAAAATCACAAATTGATATATCTGTGATAAATTTACTCAAAACTAATTTTTTTACCACAAAAAACCACAAACGGATACGCTTATGATAAATTTACCTTCCGTTAGTTTCCGTTAAATTTTGCCGTCAAATTATTGAGTTCAGTGACACGTGGCAATTGATGGGTGTATCAGTTTGGGGTTTTACCTTCTGTTTGTCATAGGTATATCAGTTTATGATTTTTCATGATATAAATTCAATTTAACGGAAACTAACGGAAAATAAATTTATCACAAGTATACTGGTTTGAGATTTTTGGTAAATTTGTCACGAGTGTATCATTTTGGGATTTTTGGTTATAAAATTAATTTGAAATAAATTTATCACAAGTGTACAAATTTGTAATTTTTTGTGGTTTTAATCATTCTTTTTAATTTGGGAGGTTTTCGCGATTTCCTTCTCAGCCGGCCAAACCCAGAAAGCGGTACAAGGGGCACAACATAACCACGGAATCGTTTGGGCCAAAAAGTGGTTTCCTTAAGTATAGAACTTGTCTAAGTCATGGTTTTGTTTTAATAAGAGCAAAAAGACACCCACAAGCTTGAAAGACTAATCTGGAACGGCCCTTTCTCTCTCCCTTTTCGTTTGAAAAAACCCGAAAAGGCTACAAAGGCTTCACAAGGAGAAAGCTTGAGCTCTTGTTTTCATGCCTGGCAAAGCAATTCTTCAACTTTCTTTAGCTTGACCCTCCCCACAAGCTTGAAAGACTAATTGGAATGGCCTCTCTCCTTTATAATGTTGATAAAAAAAGCCTAAAAGGCTTAGAGCTTTCATGAAGAGAAAGCTGCTTTGAGCCCTTAGTTTGTAGCTTTGCAAGCAAAACTTGTTGCGCTTTCCCAACTTTCAACATTTGCATACCCATGATATACTTATCTGAATTTGAGCAAAATAAATGTACTCCGAGAGAACTTAGCCATTAACAAAATGCACGCGTGCGAGATCGGTCGTATGTGTGTCTTGTATTCACGGCTTCGGAACTCGAGAGCTTCTTTTCTGGTACCAATCGCGCATCGCGTGCGTATCCAAGAAGAGGAATGATCTACAATGCCCGATGTCTGAAGGCGAAATTGGCATAGATTATGCACCACGCCATGTGATGCCACGACTTCATATGTACCACACCAACTAAGCTGAAATATAGATAAATGAAAGTAGTACCTTTTTGACCACATGATTAATATCCCCTCGTCCTCTTACTAGTAGACTCTACCAAACTCCATGATGAGAATGCAAGTGCTTTTACAGTTGCTCACACTACCAACTCGTTTCTGAACTTGCTTCCCGGTACTTTCCCTCTTTTCGTCCTCTTGCTTCGCTCCATCTAAAGGAAACGCATTATCTAACTTCATCTCCAAGGAAGAAGCCAAAAAAGTCATGTAGCTATCATCTAGTTTTCACATTGAAGTAAACCATTTAATTTCCAACCACTCATGTAGAAAGAAGCAGAAATTACTCGTGGATGGCCCCTAAGGACAGCTTGTTTTTCAACAGACAATCGTGGGATTTCCTTAAAATTCATATGAGAACATGCATCATATCTTTCAAAGAATCAAAACTTTCTCATCTACTTTCATTTGGGTTCCATAAAGTCAAAGTCATCGATGCCCAGAGTCTCGCTCTACCTCACTTAACCTATGAGGCTTATTTATTGTTTTTCTCTTGACGCTCCACCTAACTTCGTACCCGACGGGTGTCGATGTGAATCGCCCACCGTCCAATCCAATCCAAATCCAATCAAGTCCAGAGAAATGAAAGACTCGACCGACGGCCGAATCGAGTCAACCCATGTGTTGGCTTAGGAATTCAAAAACGCCCATGTGATACCGCCCTCTGTCCCCTTGTTTGTTTGCCCTAACTCTTCTTCTTTCTTCTTTCTTTCCCAATTGAATGTTCTTTGTCTCCTTCTCAAAGACGTTTCCAACGGCAAAAGTTTGCAGGACAGGACGTGAAATTGAAGTTCACACTTTGCAAGCTGGGGGGACGCCATTGATGGTCCTTCCTTACGAGCTTTGGAATCAAGGCTCTCTCCTGTATAGGTGAAACATTAGTTTACCCACAAAGTTTTCTATGTAAAGAATAAATATAAAGTTGTTTGGTGTTATTTTAAGATCGATTGTTGGGTATTATCAATCTCTTACCATACTGAATAATTATCATTATCGGTAGGATTTATCCGCATATTTCGCGGGATTTTAATTGCCACCGATTATTTTCCCCGTTGAGTAAATTTTTTACCTAACTAAGTCTTTCAAGTCATTATGATTAATGTTATCAGATAAGTTTAATCTCGTTACCAGCTGACTTTTTCGGTTTTCAACACTCAATTGGATTATTTCAATTTTGAGCTCTTAATTACCACCAGGGTCGTTGGTTTGATAGTATAAGGGTCACATGTCTGCTACTATTTTTTTAGTTTATTAGCAAGATCAATTGTTTTTTAAATTTCGATAATATTAGCGAAAAAGGTAAAAGTAAAAGTTCCATTCTTAAGGTCTTCCACGCACGCACATGTATTTTAGATTAATTCTTTTGAAAGTGTCTTTTTTACCTCGACTTACAATATATTTAAATAAATCTTTTTCTCGGATATGCAGCATTATATCCTGCGGAAAAATTGTTCATTCATTGCATAGTTATAAGCGTTTTAGTTAAAATGTATGTGGACTTTTATGAGGTAACCACCGCTAGAACTGTTTTTGCATCCAATTTCAAGATTCAATTTCTATAATATTTCATGATTCGATTTATTGTTCCAAATCGCGGTAGAATCAAAATAAATCCCATTAAAGTTTCGTTAATGCATGAACAGAGGAGTCATATAGAAAAAAAAATAGATCCGTGGATCCATGGGGCCCAAATGGCCTGAACTTGACTAGGCTGGAAAAAGACGTGCAACCTTTTTGGTTGCAAATGAACAAGATATATCAATGGACTGTCCCTGACATCAAATTGTTCGAGAATAGTGAAATGAAAAGATTTTGATTTGAGACGAGTCAAATCTCCCCAAATAGGCACTATCTCGAAGAGAGACTTGGTGAAAAAGATATGTTTGTGCATCATGTTTAGCAAAACCGAAAATTCCAATGTCTTCTCAGCCAAAAGTATTTTCACATTCATTCCGCAAATACCATTCACATTTCCTTTTAATAAAACCCCACATTGAAAAGATCAAATCGCCCCCTCTTTACAACTCATTTTGGCAAAGAGGGGTGATTTAAATGTTCTGGGGTGATTTAATTGTTCTAAGTAGATTGGAGAATTTAGGATCTAAAGATAGATAATTTTTTAAAAAAAATGATATTCTCGTAAATAGGATCTTGAAAAATAACCTGTTAACTCGGCTACGTGTTTGATAGTTTTGAAAGTAATGGCATGTTTCTAGCATTTTTCTTTAAAAATTACACTTATTCTTCGCCTCCACTTTGCATCTTACTAAACAACCAAAATGCAAAAACCATTTTCATGACATTCTCTTTCTTCACCTCTATCTTCTGTTCCCCATTGCCTTTACCTCCTAAACATTTTTCCGAACCAAGAGGGCTGAACTTCATTTCCGTTCATCGAAACAAATGGTTAGATTAAATGTAAGGAGAGAACAATAAAGGGCAAAGTAAAAGATACGCGAGACAATTTCCTGATGCTAGACTACCTGCAAAAGTTCCACCGGCCTTTTTTATGGAACTGACAATCAAGATCTATCTGACACAGAAAACCAGATGACAGTACCCAAACCAAGTCCCTACCAAGATCATCCTCGAACCTCGAACTCCCCGAATTTCACAGAAACGAAAAAGGCATTTACCACTGCTACATTCTAGACTAGTAACCCCACAATGCATCCCTCATTTTCTTTTCTTTTCTTGTTTTCTGGGCTGCAATTGTACCTCTATCTCTCCCCATACTGAAGACTCGTGGTATGTGAAGCAAAGAGACAAAAGGTTGAATGAGAAACATAAAAGCGAATAGGGTTGCATATAGATGTCAAAAGGATATCCCCACTTAGGGTATTGGTGGAGGGAATCTCCCATGGCAGAATGGTCCCAGAAGCTAAAAACCCTCTACGATAATGGTTTGGCATTAAACAATCGAAAACGAATTCTCGGGAATCGGAAACGCCAAGCAAGTGGCGTTCCTTCGAAAGGGTCCCATTTGCAGCACTAATGTAAACTTATCGTCGTATGATAGCTTTTTCCGCATGAAAATTTGCTATTTTATGACTTTATTCTCTTTTGCACAGATTGTCGGCATTCCATTGTGCGACATGGTTTACTGTTTGGATTGACTTCGTGGCCAAATCAATGATAGCTATACACAATTTTGCCCCTTCCGGTCATTGTTCCTAGACTACATGAGAATCAAGCTTCGGAGAACCATACTTGATGGTCTCAACTTTGCTCTGATTTGGCACCTATCGTCACCCTCAGACTAAGTTTCCGAAGGCCGTAGTTGCCTGACATTCAAGAGGAGAACAAGTCACATTCATAGGTCGGGAGGTGTTCGAGCCATGTCAACGTAACCACGTTCATTAAGAATCAAGTCTGAGATCAGAAGGTAGGTCCCTTAAATCCATGAGAGTCGGTGTACCGAGCTTGGCCAACACGAACGGGTATTGAATTGTTACGGTGCGTTCCCTCGGCGCGGTAATCTCCATACTTTGATCGTCATCAATTTCTATACATATCATCGTGTAAAAGAAAATACATATGCTATAAATCCAATGTTAATGGCGTATACAGAAATTTAGAAGAAGGCAATCCTCGCCAAACTTTGGGCCAAATGCTAGGTTGGTGTTGTTCTTAGCGGAGAATCCATGTGCATGGCACTTGTGTCGGGTAATATGAGAGGCTCATGATTCAAGGACCACTTTGCTTTATTATTATTATTATTATTATTGGCTCTTGCACATTGTATTATTGCTTACAGTGTAAAGCTAATTACGTTTCTTTTCCTAGTATCACTTAGCTCAAAATGTTATAAATTCCACGGAAAGAAGTTAACTTGGTTGGACTGAAAGAAAAGAGTTGTCCGAAATCCAAAGCATTTGTATTTGGCACGATTGAACTTGTTAATGAACAGCATATGTTTGTACTTTTCTACAAACATGATAAGGAGGGCGAATATTATTGTGCACTCATTTAGCGAACCTAAACTTTCGATCTTGGTTCATATCATTATCAAAGAAATTAGGGCATCGACTCTCTACAAAACCCTCTGTCCCTATCTTGTTTGTTTGTTCACGTGCTCACCTGACCTTTCATTATAGCCCATTTGATTGAAATTGGAAGCTTCCCAGAGCGATTATTACCCTCCCTTTTGAACGCAATGTTAATCTCTCTCTCTCTCTCTCTCTCTCTCTCTCTCTCTCTCTCTCTCTCTCTCTCTCTCTCTCTCTCTCTCTCTCTCTCTCTCTCTCTCTCTCTCTCTCTCTCATTACTGTCGCCGCACAAAGCTTCAACAAGTCCAATGATGCAAATACAGTTACCACCTTACCTCTGATGGTGATCAGAAGAAGGAATGTGATCATGTCCAGATCTGAAATTCGGTATGATCTTTCGACTATTCGACCGAACCCTGCACACAAACTCAATTTTGTCATGACCCTATATGCGTGTAAAGTTGTTTTCCCTCGAATGGACACCCTCACTTCGGTCCATGAATTTTGCTGTAAATGATTCAGACAGTTGAAATTTTCATTTTTTTGTGTTTATTGCGTCCGTTTCATCCTGGTCTGATCAGGACCCCTGGATGTGGATGTGATGCAGCTTTAAACCTTGTACTTGGGCCATGTCCGTCAAGTAAAAGGGTTAGGCCCATGAAAGTGAGCGTATTCAGATGGCCTAGTCGGATATTCCAATGGGTTTCAGCTTTAGAGCCCGTTTCGCATGGCTGCGGCAGCTGTGATGTGACTTTTATGTTTACTAATACATGTCTTGAAACTACGGTACCATAAAAATTAGGTGAGGTAGCTTCTTAAAAATCGGGTGAGACAGCTCCTTAAAAGCTGTCGGAAACTATTGTAGTTGTGGAGATGCAATAACTGTGAGGTGCTTATCAAATAACTTATGAGAGCTGTAACACTCGTTTTCACAGTTAAAACTGCTGCGAACAAATTGTATCCACCGACCTCTAAATGGCTAACTTTATTTTCTTTTAGTGAATGCAATACGCACGATCGAGGATCGTCATATATCCATCTCCCATCCTCGCCCAACAAGTGGCAAAATACTCGAATGATGATTGAAAAAAGAATGCTTCGCACTTCCCTCTCATCTCCCCCTTCTTTCTCACAACCTTCCGCATATAGCTACTATTCACCAGTGCCATCACTACTGGCAAAGCCACCATCGTCCTCGGAATGGGACAACGACCACCACCACCATATACTGTCGTCTTGTCTCTCTCATCCTCCTCAAGTTCTCTCCTTCTCATGCCTAAACATTGTTTTCATTTTTCGGTTGAGTTCCAATAATAGATTGCCATGCCAACGTGAGATAAAATAAACAAATGGTTTCTAAAACTGAGGAGTCTCAAGAATCATGAACACTTGTCCTTTCAAAAGTGTGGAAAGATGTACCCTTCGATATTTGGTTCATAGAATTAGGGGACAGGAATTTTGAGCTAAATTAGGGTAGCAGATGTTTGAAAGGGAAAACTTGCGGGCCTCGCCGATATGGAATGCTTATGTACATAAATGTTTGGCATGTTCATAATTGTAAATAGTATGACGTGGTTTAAGATATAATTACGCTAACATTTTTGTTGAAATTTTGGTACCTTACTTTTCCGCTGGGGGCTTGTAAATAGGGCCAGTCCTCGTGTTCTTTTATTTTAGTTCAATTAGTATTCGCACTTAACGCAAAACATAGTCGTGTTTCCTAATTTTTATGGCGTTAACTGTTAATCGTGCAAAATGATGTATATGAATGATTGAATCGCTTGGAGATACGTATGTGCATGAAACTACTTCAAAGAGTGTGATCATGAATTCATGATTCTCCACGAAATTTAAGGTAGAGCATCGCACAATGTTGTTAAACCCAGATTCCTAAGTGGTGTGCAGTTGAACAGGATCCGGCTAAAATTATTAGATAGGAGACTGGATCGGCGCTTGATTGAACCAGCGAGAAGAACGTGTTCTTATCGATGTCTCAAAACATAGATTGGCTACTGGTTTCTGCTTTCGCTCAATAACACATCTTGTTTGTTCTAGTTCCAACCAAAAGAAAAGGACGCCCAAATGATTAAAGAAAAATAAACGAATGAGAATAAACACAAGCATGCATGCATGCGACGCTCATCTGTCTCACACATACACCATGCACTGCCTAGGGTTTTGGTCTTTCAAGCTCCCCGTTCCTGAAGCCCCGACGAACCCAACCTCCAAGCCGTCGCAGTAAACCCTCATGCCGAAGTGGCTCGTCCACCACCACCCGGACTTGAACGTCCCCATCAACCCGAACCCCAGCCCGAAAATCACCGTCCCTTTCTGCCGCTCCTCATTAATCACCTCCAATTCAGAGGACGTTGGCTGCTCCCCGTCTATCATTGACATCTTCACGTTGATGACGCCGTTTGTCTTAGTCTCCAGGGAAAACGACGGTTCTGTGCTCCAGCTGAGATAGTTCCTCGGGTCGTCGTAGTACACGTAGCTCTGGATCCGGTCGAAGTAGGCCTTGAGCTTGTGGTTATTGTTGTCGACAGTGACATTGGCGTCCCAGCTCCCCATCAGGACCGAGTTCGAGATGTTGAAGTTGGTGACGGAGAAGGCGGTGACGTGGAACTCGGGGACCTGGGGGCGGAGGACGATGTACGTGATGATGGTGATGGCGCACGATGCCACCACGAGAAAAATTAAGGCTGCAAGGATTCCGCGCGTGAAGCCTGAGGTGCGGCTTGGTGGTACTCGGGAAGGGTAGTAATGGGGGTTGTTTGCGGGGTAGTATCCGACGGGTGGTGGGGGCGCACCGTAAGGATAGCCTCCGCAGCCGTTGTGGGGAGGAGGGTAGGGCGGGGGGTAGCCCATCACAGGAGGGTAGCCGGGAAGGGGGTGTTGGTGGTAATTATCGGGGGTGGCATTCTGGTGTCCAGCCGATGGCGGCGGCTGCGACGTGGAGCTGTGGTTTCCATCCGGAGGGGGATTTGGCTTTGGTTGATTTTCATCTTCGTCCGGTGTGGGTCGTTCGCCGTGGTGGTGATCGGATGAAGACGCCATTGTTGGCCCGCGAAAGTATGGTCTTTCTGCTTTTTCTCAACGCTCAATCTCGCACAACCCAAGTCCCTCACAGAGAGGAAGGGAGACAGAACGAGAGACAACGAAACAGAGAAAATGGGAAAAAGTTGTCGGAAAATAGGAGGGGCAGGGTGTGGTCTTTTGGGATGTAAGAGGGAGGAGTACTATGTTAAGCAAATGAAGCCAAACGGAATGGGTTGTCAAGAGGGTTTTGACCCGTTTGCATGCCACCCACACAGCTTTTCTTAGGAGCAGCTAATAATTTACCCCCTTCTTTCCAAAACAAATCAGTGGTTAATCTGATCCTGTAATTTGTTTTGTTCACCATATCATTAATAGAACAGAGTCTAAACAACATTCTTTTTCATCACGTTGGTTTCAGCATTCACATTTGATTGTGTTTGTTGCAACCTGCAACTATGCTTTATTTCAGCAATTTCCTGTAACTACGAGATTCTGTTTGCACAGTGGCTGAGTCTGTGCCACAAAGCTTTGCCCCGGTGTGAACAGATGTGATCGGGGATGTGGGGTACAAAGTTGAGTTGTGTTAAACTTCACTGAATCTTCTAGGGAGCTTGACTGATGTCCCCACAGGTGCCAAGGTCACACAGATCCGACCGCATGGATTCGCGTGTTCAGTTTTGTCCGGTTATCGTTCGAAATTTTCGCACTGATGGCACATCTATGACCTTCGAAACCTACGCAATGGACGCGAAATTCTTTGGCATTCCAATATCGATTGTGCAAATGAACGGAGCAGGTCTACGGGAATAGACAAATTTCTGCGTACTTACCAAGAATATGGAAATTTGACATGCTCATATTATATATGTAAAGTGACCTCAAAGAATGGTTGAGACGATTTCCAGTCGAACTGTCATCATTCTGGTCTATCCCAGAGGAACAAAACTTACGAGTAAACCAAATGAAAGAAATGAGATGGGGTACGACCATCGTTTGAACCTACCCACTTACAGTCGAAAATAATCGAAGAACGGTGATGAAGCGAGAGCCTTCATTGCTCCGAAGATTTCATCGCTTAGGCTCACTCCATGTCTTACCTTCGAAGAATTCGTTCAGCATCCGTTCGATATCCTCAACACTGAACCGGATGTACTTCATAGGGTTCTTCCCGTTCTCAATGAGCGGCCTATGAACACCCAAAAACATGAAAATTGACCTAACCAGGATTTTAAAGGAAACTCCTAAAATCCGTAGGAGAAACTCACCCACAGCGCTTGATGAAGGATCTATAGGCGGGCAAGACGACTTCTGCAACAGCGAGTCTCAGTGACTCACGCAACTCACTGTCAGGAACTGTCCACTGAGATTGCCGTTGATGGAGCTCCTCAAATTGAACATTAAAAGTCTTGAACCTATCTTTCACCATTGCTCTTGAAATTCCACTATTACCATCACTTCCCATAGGACCACCACCTCCTGATGAACCCTGAACAGTGAGGCACTGCAGAATCTGCAGGTTAAGATTTCAGCTGAGCTTAGTTTCAGTTTGATGAACTGGACAAGGTTCAACGTCGAGGAAATTTTAACACATGAAATTGTTTTGAAATAACTGAAGTAAAAAGATTCTAAATGTCTTTGCAGAGCTTGAAGTACGCGGGATCTACAATGTTACATAATAAGGTCCTTGAGCATAAAAAATCTCTCTTCTAAAAGTAGTTCAACTAAGAGTACCTTTGCCCACGAAATCCTCTTATACTGATTGGCATGTTGCTGTACAATCCTCCTATGTATCTGCACCCAGTCATCCCCAAGTAAATCCTTCGCTTCCGACCTGCAAAACATAGCTAAGAATGGCATTAGCCTAATGATGGTTGCACAGGAAACTTAATGCCTTGGAAACTGACCTCCTTACAGATCGGACAATGTAGTGGATGTTGTTCATGAGAAATAATTGAGTCAAAGCGGGATCTTTATACTGCTTAGACTTTCCATCCAGATTACTCTGAAGAGCAGTCATGATTCTTGTAGTTAGAGCTGCTAATTGAGCATCTGCCTCACCTTCATTGAACTCCTGAAAGAGTTGCCTCAAAGTGGACTGGTAGCTGTAAACATCGATAACAGAATGTTATAACTTAGGCAGAGATGCAAGATATGACCCAAACAAAAAAATGCACTGCTTAATGCCATTTCCGCAAAAGAACACATTGACATGGCATACTTTGCTCTACAGAAACATGCCAAACAAAAATTGACAAGCAACATTATTTTAAAAAAAAAAAATTCAAAGGATTTCACAAAGGAATTGAAGGTAGCACTTACTCAAATAGTTTACTCAAATATGAATCAAGAAGCACTTACTCAAATAAAAACTTCACATAGTTTATCACGTAGCTGGTCAAAGGATGGACAGTCCCATCTTGAACAGCAGTTTTTGTGGCATCTTTTTCAACTGCTTCCTCAAAATCACCGAACGTCTCTTGAGCTGTCTGAGCAAGTCGCTTGGTCAAACTGGAGGCATATTCTCGCATCTCAATACAAGCTTTACTTCCAAAAAGGTCCATAATCTATCCCACCAAAATAAGACTCAGGCTCTTGACCAAAGTAAAAATTACAAAACTCCGAAAAAGATAAATGAGGATAAAGAAAAGGCATTTGAGACAAAAAAAAGTAGAAAAGAAATTTGCAAAGATGGATCATAAAGAACTAGGGATCTCAGTCACAAGCGCATTTGAAAGGGATAAAATATGAAAAGAAATGAAAGGAAAAGACTTATCTTCCTCGCCATCTACCCTTCTGCTCCATTTTTTAAACCAGAAAAACAACCATAAAAGTGGTTCATTGTGCTTGTTCATGTACTTAAGTCCAATAATTTGGAATAAGCTGTTTTACAGGGCTAAAAATTGTTGGGCAATCATTATTTTCCCAAAAACTTAAACTGTCAAGAATCATGTCAACAATGTGTATCAAGCCTATATCTTAACTCCTCCATGCATGTAAACGGATGTTCCACATGAAATAAAAGATGTGTCACATCAAACAACCACCGGAGGTCAGACATGAGTCACGAGCAAAATAACAACAAGAGGAAGTGCCGATATTCGAAACTTTGACCTAATGCTGTAATATAACGGCGAACAATAATTTAGTAAAAAGCTTAAACTATCAGGGAATGTTCCCATAACACATATCATGCAAATCTGTTAAAAAAACACAAATGGATCTCTTGACCATTGTCAATGTCCATAAGACTCGGAGAAAATGGAAATACAATGGAGAGTTTTATAACATCCTCTCAATTACTATTGCAATGACTGCGTGACCAATTTGCAGTCATTCACTTCCATTATATAGTACTTAGCAGTTGATGCCGTGGGCAGCAAGTTTCACCAGCATATGACAGCTGTAATATTTGAAGTTGAGATTACATAATGCAAGGATGCCACCATGCATCATCCATCATTAAACGTGTAATTGTTTTAGATAGCAAAAAATATGTTCATCATGCCAGTTGACAAAGCAAAAATGCATGTAGATAACAGACTTGAAGCAAGGGAATCTGTGGTTCCCCATTCAAAGCCATCTATAAACTTTTTTCCAGTGCTTTCAACAGACGGGAGGCAATTGAAGCACCATCCATGCTGTTTAGCTTTTTGGGGATACCCTGCTTAATTGCTCCCTATCCCAGTGCTCAAGACAAATTATGGAACCTCAAAGTGCCTTATCTATGTTTAAATATTTTTCTCCTCTTCCAACAGTCAATTAGAAATTTCACATTATACAGGGAAATCAGAAAGTTCCGATAATCATCTTCTACAAGTTGTGTGCAATTGGCATCAAAAGAACTAGTTCCATTCTTTCAACTCAAAAAAATGAATCGCATAACACCATGCTAATACTTTTATATAAAAAAAAATTACAAAAACATACATATATCATACCTCTGGCTGCAATTCTCTCAATATCTCATACATATCCAGGAGAACAAACAATTTCTCGGGTGATCGCTTGCTTTTGGCAACAGCTTCTCCAAAACTAAGCAGCAGAGCCATACAGTTTGCAGTTACTTCAGCAAAGATTTGATCTCTGAGAGAATCAACACCATCAAATACTTGGTCGCAGAGTTTCTTTTCACCAGCAAAAAGAAGCTTTACCTGTCGCAAGACATTATTTAGTAACCAAAACCAAAAGGTTATTAAGCCACATCAACATAAACACTTACTGCAATACGCATGTAATGTATCCAATTTCCAATTTTAGCTTCTAAAACCTCCCATTGCATTCTCTGTGCATCATCTTTGCTCAGTTTCTCCACACCTAGTTTCCGAAGACTCTGTTCCAAAACTGAAGCACGAGTATCCCTGACATAAGGGAAGGGAAAGCAAGACTAATGCAATCAATTAATCAAAGAAAGTATAACAACCACAACGGGCGAACCCATCTTCTGTCTATCAAGTGAGACAAGCCACATTTTAAAGAAGCTAATTTAGCAAAAAAAAAATTCCATAGGGCATTGTAGATTTATGTGTACGTACACATTTTTTATGAGTGAGACTCTTACAAATTGCTTTTCAGAGATCTTAAAGGATGTTAAAAGTTAAAATTTCCATCAATGGCTTAAAGCATGTTAAAAGTTAAAATTTCCATCGATGGATACTTTAAACATTCTTTAAGCTTAAGCGCTCCACAAATTAGACATCAATCCTGGCCGACATCCTCAATATTTGTCTTTGAACAGGCGGAAAAGAACTCCTTTTGTTGACCACTCCCGTCCATCAAGAGTCCTACTATCTTCAACTGAGCACTTTGCCACTCGAAACAAAAAACATTGGTTCAAGTGGGCTTAGCTATCGAAAGAAGGGTTATGTCAATAGATCTACACAAAAATTCTCAGTTTGTCTATAATTAATTGATCAGAATGGGGCTTTCAGTTTCTTATAAAAGACATTGGACAAAGTAAGCCCAACCATTATAACTAGGCGGAACTCCTGCTCAGGAAGGACTCCAGCTACATCATCAGGACTTAT